TATTGAAAGAAGTAGTTAATGCTTAAATTTTTTTTCTCTTTTTTAATATTTTGTAACTTTTTTGGCCAATTTTGTATCCTTATATCTAGTAATCTGAACATTTATTTATTTATTTATTTATTTAGCGGAACTGGGGATTGAACTTGGGCCCTTGCACTTGCCAGGCAAGTGGTTATTCTACTGAGCCGTCTCCCCGGCCCCTTGAACAATTAATTTGAAGACAATATGCAATATAACAACCATTGCTGAATTCCTATTATTTTGTTTAGGGAAATTCTGTATCATTTCTACTTTTTTTTACCAATTTTTTCTCTTTAAAAAATTAAAAATTAAAAAGTTAAGACAAAAAGTTAAAAAACCTGATCACATAATAGATTAAAAATTCTTTTTCATTTTAAGCCCTAGTTCCTATGTCCAACTGATGTTAACATGCCAGTTAAAATAAACTGGCATGACCATCTGCCCTTTAAGGTAGACAATATATAATATAAATTAATGAATGAATAAAGACACTAGGTTCTTTATGGGAAGAAAATGTTATATTCATTCACAAAATACGATCAGGGTTTCCAAGAACTATTAAATGGCACCAAGTAACCACAATTATCGAGAGTACATATAAGGTGTAATATAGTATGGCTTGAGAAATGGGAGACCTACAAAGGAAGTAGAAACTTTAATTTTTTAGAAGTTAAATGACCCTTTGTCGTACTGAAGAAGGCAGTTTTTTTCTAATGGACTGAGCACTGGATTTGGTGTCAGAAGATCTACGTTCAAATTGAAATCTCCAACTTACTAGCTCTGCAAGAACTGAGAAGCTTATTCACATTATCTGAGTCTTGTTTCTCAGTAAGTAAAATTAGGAACAATTAGGGAACAATTAGGTGCACTTTGCAGAAGTGCAGTGAACACTAAGTGAGACTACAAGGCCACTCTGAGAAAGCCCACTGAGGTCTGACTACAGCAATCAGCAGACAGTAACTAGAGCTAAATACAGCTGACCATAAAGTATTTGAGAGACCATTTTCCTCTCAAGGGTGTGGGGTGGAGAATTTATCTATAAACTATTAATGTTAGTGAAACTAGGGTGCATCTACATGTTATCCAATCTTTTGGCCTTAAATATTTCCTGAAATGGTTAATTTACAGATAAGCTACATTAAACAGATACTGAAACACTGTAATTGAATAAAAAGCTAATTAATCAACAAATGAACATGGGGAATGTCTCTGGGTATCTTGGACTGTAAAGAAGTAGAATTTATTGCCAGGCATGGTGGTTCAAACTTATAATCGCAGCACCTTGGGAGGCTGAGGCAGGAGGACACAAATTCAAACCCAGTCTGGACAACTAAGCAAGATCCTCACTCAAAAAATAAGCTTAGAAGAAGCAGGACACACAGTACAACCCCCAGCACTGGACAAAGATTAAAAAATAAAAATAAAACAGAACTAGAATTTCTCAAAATCATCACGATTATCATAAACAAACTTGGCTTTAAGGATGGGCAACTTCCCTCAAAGGAATTTTGGGAAACCCCATCCTGTGAGAACACATGCACGCCAGATATAGGGATTTCTAGAGACATGAGTCTCATCATCACCCTCGGGGCTGCCTCCTCTCGCAGGAAGGAGAGCCCTACCACCCACCCACCTCATGCTTTTGTTGAGTTGATTCATCTGCGTGGGAAAATACAAAGACCCTCACCCAGGAGCGTGGCCTTAACAACTGCATATTTTTCTTGTAATACACAGATTTAAAATTCAATCCCTAAGCCAAGCCATTTGTATACAAATTTGAAACTGTCAGTGTATTCTGTTTAGAGCTTTCTCTTAACAGCTTCTAGATATGTATAGGCGTTAACCTGGACTAAATTGAAGCTTATCGAGGGAAAATGAGGTACTTTTTTATTGAGGTCTTTGTCGTGTGTATTCATTGATGCCTAAAGATAACTGATCAGGAGTTCAACATTTGTTAGCAATCCATAGTTCACAAAACTAACAAAGCAGTGCCTGTTTGATAGGAATAGTATCTGTACACTCTATCCAAGTGGTAACAATGTAGCAGTGTTAGCTCAATCAGTGATGGGGAGCCTTTTAGAGCTTTCAATGATGGCACCCAGGCCACAGGTTCCCCACCACTGATCTAAAATGAGAAAACTGATCAACTTTGGCTGTTTAGAGAAGGGAAAATAATTTTACAAGTTTTAGAACTGGAAAAATCAAGAGACATCTTAAAATTTTTTTTATTATTTTTTTTATTTTAACATTTATTGAGTGTGTGTGTGTGTGTGTGTGTGTGTGTGTGTGTGGCCAGCTCAGCCCACCAGGGGGCGCAGCTGGCTGGCATGTGGTGCTGGGGGATCGAACCGCGGTCCCTGTGCTTTAGCCAAGCTTGTTCCAAGTAGGTGCTTTAGACCACTGAGCCATCTCTCCAGCCCCTCAAGAGACATCTTATTCCTAAAGAAGACCTCCCAGTATAGTGCAAGGTGCCAAGTTAGGCATTAAGTGAGGACTTAGCAGTTGCATCCTGGAGGCGCCACCTCCCCACCTTCACGGTGGAGATGACCCCATTGTAGAGGAGAGGGGCGAAGTAGCTCCCAGGAATCTCTGAATACAGAGAGGTTTTCATTTCTACATCAATATTACTTTGTCCAGACTTTCCTAATGACTGTCTGTATGAATATACTGAAAGTGCTCGATGCTTTTAAGAAGACTGAGTTAAGGTAAAAATCAAGGTAACACAACTTCACATTTTTTCCAGTCCCATTTATTAGTCAGGGCAGACTAATGCAGAATAAAATCAGGGAAGGCTGGACCACACTGCACAACCAAAGAGGCCATTTCTTTCCCAGTTTTGGTAGGTGTTTCCACACTATTTTATTTTATTTTTGCAAAAGCACAAAACAGTGGATAAATTTTTTGTAAAGCCTCTTAAACTTTTTCTTTTCTTCATTTGCTTTTGCTTCTATGTGAGGTATCAGGGCTTGGATATGTTGGAGGTAGAAATCATGGGCATAAACTTGTTGACTTGATCAGATTATAGGTTTGATTTCCTCTTCAAGTTTAAGGGACACAGAATGTCCACAATGGAAGTGATATAATGCAGATTAAGTTAAAAGCCAGCATTTACTGCACATTTATGATGTGCCTAATACTGTGTCAAACTCTCTATATTTAATTAGACCTAACTGATCAAGTTGATGCCCTATTATCTCTGCCAAACTCAACTCCCAGCAGGGAAGGAGGCCTTCTGGAGTCTGAGGTGGGACCCAAGCTCTTTCTAGCGCAGACAAGGAGGCACGGTGGTGTGAGCTCCCCAGGCCTTCTCACGCCTGCAGCACCTCCATTCCTCATGCAGGGCTCAGAAGCTGCCTGTACCTTAGGTGAACTCAGGAATTCTTGGTATTCATTCCCAACACCTGGGAGTACCAAACTCAAAGGTGAGTGGAGGAAATGCTCTTAACCTCCTCTCTTCCTTCTCTTGGGATTCTCCTTTCTCAGCTAAGAGCAGAAACTCATGGTCCCCAGGGGGTGGCACCCATAGGGCTGACTGGAAAGACACAGCCACTACCTCGGCTGAAGGCCAGCTACAGAGAGCTTTTGCCCTCCCCAAGGTCCTCTGGGGACAAGCATGGCCACACACATGAGGAACAGGGCTGTGGCTCGCAGGCAGGTCTTCACGGTCTTACCACATGGAAAGTTAAAGTATGTGTGTATCTACACACATATGCACATACACACAACACACAACAGTACCTAGGACAATGGGAGGCACGAGGCAGCACTTGATAGATGTTTTCTTCCCCTCCCTTTTTCCAAGTAAGCCTGTGATAAATGGCATTTTGGATGCCAAGAATCAGTTCTTTCATTACAACTGGTGTCACTGACCTCTAGGGATTTATAATACATCAAGTAGGTGATGGGAGACAAACCTGAGGAGGGATGGTTACTCAGCTGCTGAAAAGCCAGAATCAACAGGAAGGTTACCACCTCTGGACCAACTATTGCTACTTCTGGAAATGTTAAAATCTGAAAAGATCCCAGTGATTCCTAATAACAATTTCTTCTTGAATCTATTTAGAATGAAAATGGAGGTTTTATTACATTAGGCTATAGGGTATGGTGACAGTTCACATAGGCTACATTTCAGTTTAAGTGAAGAACTGAGAAGAAAATGACCATTTGCTTTCCACAAACACAATTCCTTTGGGTATTTAGCAAACTTAAGGAAACTGTACCTAATGTTTTGTGTCTACTTCTTAATCAAAACCCTAAATTCACTACAAGAAATCACGACAGAATAGGCAATATCAAGTCATAGCACTGTTAACTATTACTTGTTACTTATATACACATGGAAATATACCAAAATTAATCTCTACTCTGGAAACTAGTAAACAGAACTGTAAATGTGCAGTAACTAGAAATGGTACACCAATAGACCATAAGGCAGCCATGGCTGAGTCTTCTCTGGTAGAGTATCATGTGGTTCAAAGACCAGTGTATGATTTTAAACAATTATTAAGACAAATACTTTGAGGAAGTATTTTGAGGAAGAAACAGGGCTGATTTTAAGACTCCTACAAAATGAATTTGTATTGGGATTTATTTGGGATTAGAAAATGTACACAGGAACATAATGACATAAAGAGATAGCAGTCTTTCCTCAAATATAAAGACACCTAGAAATGACTATTATTTTTAGTATTCTTTGGGCTCTTTTGTCAGTTATTGTTGCATTCAGAGTAGTTATCAGAAAATTCTGCTGTTTAATTTTTTTTTATTTTTAATTTTTTTTAATAAAATAGGGAAACAAGCCTCTTTTTTCCTTCCTTTTATTTATTTATATTTTATTTTATTTTTGCAGAACCGGGGATTGAACTCAGGCCCTTGCACTTGCCAGGGAAGTGTTTATTCTACTGAGCCATCTGCCTGGCCCTTTGTTTTATTTTGAGACAGAGTCTTGCTACGTAGTTCAAGCTGGCCTTGAACTTTCAGTGATCCTTCTGCCTCAGCTTCCCCAATGCTGGGATTATAGGCATATGTCACCACACCTGGCTCTGCTGATGTTTAAACAAGTGGTCAGGTTGAGTTTTACCTGAGTGAAATGGTTTCAAACTGCATTTTGTCATTTATCATTATGCTCTTGTTACCACTACTCCCTTAATGCTGGGTTTGCTTACTTGCTAGACTGCCCAAATCATAGTGCTAACCTTGAAAGGATGACATCTATTGTGGCTCAAAAAGTCATACTTTGATTAAAAATATTTCAAAGCTTTTAATAAACACATTTGGGGCTTTTTTTTTTTTACCCCCTGTAGCTCGTTTTGTTGGACTTTCCAGGGTAAGCCTGAACAGTACTGTTAGTTGTTTTACACATCCAGGGCTATATACTGACAGGAAAACTATGACATGAAGAACAGACTCTAAACAACAGCAACAGCCTCTACAAAATGTTCAAATGAAAAGCGCTCTCACATGGTGCTGAGAACTAAGACGTAGGCACTTCTGCTTCAGAGGTTTTCACATTTGGATCACACGTAGCTTTCCCAAGCCTTTTTCTTTCACTACTAGAACTCTTTTGTTGTACACACAGTCTAGCTCACTGGAAACCTTGTTCTCACAAACATCCTTTTGGTGTATTAATCTTTTCATAAAATCCTCTCCCTCAGCAGATGCTGTGGGACAGTCTCACGCAAGGCTGCTGCTCTGTAGGATCAGGTCATCCACCAGCAGAACAAAGGCGTGTCACATGCGATTCTTCTCTAACATGTCTGCCTCCCTCTTTCTGGTTCTTCATTGAGAATGTAATTCAACGAAGTGTACAGCCTTCGTGACATTCTAAAGCTACTGGGCTACTGGGATTTTTAAACATGATATTTAAACAGTTTTGATTTTTTTTTTTTTCTTCCAGAAAACCTGTGCGAAAAAGGCACTAGATAAAATGAATTTCCTCACTCTTGTGGCTAGCAATTATATATTGTGTTTGCTTCTGTGACTGAGTGAAGGTGACACATATTTGGATAAAAGAGCCAAATTATATAGATTCACCTACTTTGATTTAAAAACAAACTCCAAGTCAGAGGGACAGCAGGCCACGCTGCTGAAGACCAGCAGGTCCCTGGTGTCACATGCGGCCAGCCTCCACCATCCCAGAGCTTTGGGCTGCTGCTGACTCTGGCCTCTGGGTGGCCAGGCAGAAGCCTGGACCCAGGGGGCTCACTGGCAGCAGCTGTGGGAGCCAAGCCTCCTGGAGACCTGAGTAAAAGAGACAAAAGTGAAGTTCTCACAGTTTTCCAGCTTGACCTTCTTGGCTAAGTTTGGGACAATTCCCCGGAGAGACCGCAGTCCCATCCTCTGCTCCTCATACCATACACTGCCCATGTCTGTGGCCTCCTTCCTGGCAGTCAGGTAGAAGGGGGACTTGGCCTCCATCTGGGTGGGTGGCCGGTGGATATACATGTACTTGTAAAGGAGGCAGTATGGGCACTGTTTGTGTCCCCTGGAATGCTCATGGTAGATTTTCCCATGACACACTCTGGTGGAACCGCTCCGACTCTCCCGCTTGACGCTGTCTGTCCGGGCAAAGTAGGGCTGGTTCTGTGGGTCCTTGAGCAGTTCGATGTCCCCATACATCAAATCTGCGTGCTCCTGCAGTGTCCGCATGTTCAGGTATTGGCTGTTGTACTTGACCACAGTGGACAGGAGAGTGATAGGGCTGTCGTCCCCTAGACACCCTGCCTGCCACATCTCCTCCTCGTCAGAAAGAGAGAAGTAGACGATATTTCGAGAACGGGCGCCCGACATCCCCGCCTTGCTCAGCACCCACAGCTTCTCCTTGAGTTTCTTGGTGGAAGAGCTGAAGGTGCTGCTGGTGATAGAGAAGCCCACGCCTGCGTTCTTCAGGATGCGGTCCAAGCCTCGGCGGATGGCATGGAGCGAGGTGGCCAGGAAGTCGGAGCCGTCACTCTTCTTAACGGTGACGTAAAAATTTTCAAGCAGTTCATTCAACTTCACTGCAGGGATCTCAAATGAGACAAACACTGAAGTTATACATCTGAGGACACCTACAAAGCCAGACCCCTCCTCCCTTCTAACCTTTACTGGGCATTCTACGCAGCCAGGACATGGTGTGGCCTGCAGAGGCCTGAGCCCAAAGGGTAACGGTAGAAAGAACAGCAAATGTCAAGCTGGAAAATCTACATTCTCTGTTTGGCTCCTGCTAATCTTTTTAAATCTTTTTTTTTTTTTTTTTAATTTATGTGTATGTGTGGCCAGCTCAGCCCACCGGGGGCGGGGCTGGCTGACATGTGGTGCTGGGGGATTGAACCACAGTCCCTGTGCATTGCTAAGCTTGTTCTAAGTAGGTGCTTTAGACCACTGAGCCATCTCACCAGCCCAAAGAATTTTGTGCAGCATGATTTTTTTTTTTTCCAGAACTGGGGATTGAACTCAGGCCATTGAGCTTGCCAGGAAGCACTTATTCTATTGAGCCATCTCCCCGGCCCCAATCTTTTTAAATCTTAACATTTCAATCTACAAAGTAGGGAATAATACTTGACACCTCAAAGGATTGTAGTAATACTGGAAGCAGTGGACTGTGAAAGGAATTGTAAATGGGAATGACCATACACTCCTGACGACACATGCACAGATGTGTCTACAAATACATTATTATTAGTAGTAGTATTATTCTTTTATTAGGTTTTTGTAACTTCATTATTCTTCTCTCTTCACTTGCAAACCATTTGCCTCCTTCTCCTTTAATAAAATTCAGTAATCCCGTCTGAAAGATTCCTAAACTAAATTTAAGTCTCGGTAGCTCCCGCGCTGATTTCCCGACTCTGCGCTCCCTGGTCCTATGGTCCCTGGGCAAGTACTGTGCAGCACACCACACATACATTTGTGCTGCGAGTAATGCTTCTTGATTTTCCACTTGAATTTATCTGAATAGGCCCTAAAATATCGGTGGCTTAATAAACTATGCGGTATCAATATCATTACTTGTTTAAAAGATCCGAAAAAAATGACTATTATTTGATTTTTTTCTAATCCCATCTGATCTGTATCACACCAAAAAAGTATATGAATATAAATATAAATTTTGCTAAGCAAAATACAGACATCTTTCATTTTGTATATTATCATTTTACATGAAATGTGTGCACATTATTATCATGCAAAGTGGGAACAGCTCTGGTATGCACAAGCTCCCGGTGACGTAGTCTTTCATAAAGAAACACTGCCTGTGTTCCTAGGTTATAGTCAGGGCTATAGCACACTAATCAAATCAAGCGGGGATACTGCAGTGGGAGGGTCATTTAGTCTCACATATTGTAGTGTAACTGACACTGAAGAAAGGTAATATGAACTTAAGTAATACTGAAGAATTGTTTGAAAATATAATTTTAAATTTTTAAAAATTTAAATTAAATTGAGATTGGAAGAAAAAAATCCTCTTACTATAATTAAAACTATTTTAAAGACAAAAATTATAAAAATTATACCTAAATGAAAACATTAAAATCCTTTTGTGAAGTCAGGGACCAAATGCATGCTGAATATCATTGTTCTTACATAGTACTGTTCTGGAGGCACCAGGTAGGACAAGAAAAATAATTTTTATACTCATGCCCTCTCACACACGTGTACACACACAAGCATATACACGAAAGGAAAAAGGCAAACGTTTTCGGATAATCTGATTGTTAGTCTAGGATACTCCAAGGGATTCAGCTGAAAAGCAGCAGTGGACAGCGGTATACAATATAAATGAGCTTTCTTATGTAGCCAACAGTAACCAGTTAAAATAACTTCCCAACAATTACACTCAAATTCAGCAAGATTTGGAGGTTTCTAATTGTCACTCAAAGCTCCCTCCTGGCAGGCGATGACTTCGCTTCACACTGGCTGTGACTCCTCTGGCTTCAAGAGAGACTCCGCCTGGACAAGAGGCGTATCCGGCCGAGTAGCCTCCATGGCCGTGAGGACACCCATGTCTCCTCTCTGCTTCTCTGTGAAGACGGGGCTACTTCATACAGCTGAAGTCATGGCCAACTACTTCTCTTCAATGTTTGCATCTTCAAGTTTCATGTATTAGTAAGAGATCAACTCTCATTTCCAGTAAGAAAAAAAATCAGGAGAGGTCTGATTAGCCCATTGCTACCTCACCTGAAAGTGGCCCATCATACTTAAATGTGATGGCTTTGGAAACAAGCATGGGGACTGCAGGACAGAAAGAGTTCCTAAATAACTGGTTCTAAGAAAACTTTTATTTTTTACTTTACTGCTTCAAACAAAAATCATGAAACAGGGTTGGCAAGACAGCTCAGCAGTTTAAAGTGCCTGCTTAGGCAAGCTTAGGCAGGACTGCAGTTTGGCCCCTGGCACCACATGCTGTGCCAGCCCTGACCCCAAGGTGGGCTAGCTGGCCACAAAAAAAAAAGAAAAAAATTAAAATAAAAAATCATGAAACAAAGGTGAGCTGTGTTGAAGAATTGAAAAACTTAGTATTTTAAAAATGACAATAAATCCTAAACTACCTATAGATTTACACTTATCCCTATAAAAATCCCAGTTGCATGGAAGCTAATCCTAAAACTTTATATGGCAATGTTGAAGTGACTAAACATAGCTAGAACATCTTTAAAAAGAACAAAGTTGGAAAACTCACCCTTCTTATTTTGAAAACTTACTACAAAACTATAGATATCAAGACTGTATTTCCTGGCACCATACATATAGGTAAGAATCCAGAAACCCTCAGGTAAAAAGATAACTGATTTCAGTAAGGGGGCAAAATAACTTCAGAGGGAAATAATCTTTTTTGGGGAGGGAAATAATCTTTTCAACAAATGGTGCTAGTAGGAGAATTCAGGATTCTATACCAATGGCTGAAGTTGGACTTTTACCTCACACACAAATTAACTAAAAAGGATCCAAGATCTAATGTGAGAGTTAAAGCTCTAAATTTTTAGAGGAAGAAAAAGGGTAGTTGGGCATGGTGGCACATGCCTGCAATCCCAGCACACAGGAGGCTGAGTCAGGGGGAATCTCTGTGAATTCAAGGTCAGCCTGGGCTACATAAGCAAGTTCAAGGCAACCTGCACTACACAGTGAGACCCTGTCTCAAAATAAAATAAAATAAAATAAAATAAAATAAAATAAAATAAAAAAATAAAATAAAATAAAATAAAATAAATAAAATAAAAAAATAAAAAAATAAAATAAAATAAAATAAAATAAAATAGAACAGAATAGTAAATCTTCATGACCTTAGATTAGAAAATGATTTCTTAGACTATTGCTTAGGTACAAGTAATGCGAGAACAAAAATACACTGAAATTCTTTAAAATTAAAAACTTTTCTTCAGAAAGCAGCACCGAGAAAGTAAAAAGACAATACAGAATGGGAGGAAATATTTACAAATCGCATAGCTCATATGGGACTTGTATTTAAGATATATAAAGAACTATGACAACAGCAAGAAGATCATGCATTTTAAATAACCTGAGTAGACCCTTCTCCAAAGAAGATACATGAATAGCCAATAAGCACATGAAAAGATGCTCAGCCTCATTAGGTATCAAGGAATGCAAAGCAGAGTCATAAGGGATTCTTGCTCACTTCCAAGACGATGGCTAGAATTAAAACAACAACAATGATAATAACCAGTATTAGTGAGGGTGTAAGGAAACTAGAACTCTCATGTATTTCTGATACAAATAGAAAATGATGCAGATGCTTAGGAAATAGATGGGCAGCTCCCCAAAAGTTAAACATGAAAGTACCACATGGCCAACCATTCCTAGTTACATGCCCAAGAAGATGGACAACATGTCCTTACAAAGATCTGAACACACATATTCACTGCAGCTTTAGTTTTAATAAATAGCTCAAATATAAAAACAACAATCAACAGATAAATGGATAAACAAAATGTGGCACATCCATAGAATGGAATAGCCTTCAGTCAGCAATAAAAAGAACAGGTTACTAATCCATGCTGAATCATGGATGAACTTTGAAAATGTTATGGTAAGTAAAATAAGTCAGATACAAAAGGACAAGTCATAGAGAGAGGACACAATTGATGATTCCACTGTGAGAATAGGTATGTTCATAGCAGCAGAATGTGGAATAGATTGCAAGGGCCTGAGGTGAGGCCGAAATGGAAAGCTATTGTTTAATGGGAACAGTTTCTACCTGGAATGATGAAAGAATTCTGGGAATGAATAGTAGTGATTTTTTTTTATTCATTAGCAATTTTATTTGTTTTCTCTGACCAAGAATCTTTTTTTTTTTTTTTTCTAGTAGTGATTGTTTTGCAGCACTGAAAGCAATGAATGCCACCAAACTGTACACTTAAAATGGTAAATGTTAGGTATATTTTACCATAACCATAAAAAACTCAAATAAATCAATAAAAAGTAACTTTCATTCTAACAATTAAAATAATTATTATATCCATTAATAATTCTAAAATCTAACTTTCACATTGATTCCCAATACCAAGTTTCCGTTACCACCACGTTAACCTTCTTTAGGTCAAAGGGTTCTGTCTTCTGGACTCTGAAATTGTTAGGAAGACAGGTACCTACTACCAAAAACCTGTATTTTTCTTTGCAGGAATTTATGAAAAGAGCCTCAGTTCTCCACACCTCCATAATTTGGGTAATTTCTACATTTCCTTTCCTTTTCTTTTCTTTTTTTTTCTTTTTTTTTTTTTTTGTATTTTATGGAAGGGTTTGCAGGATGTTCAGGGTCTCACTACTAGATCGGACTTGTATTGGTCCACCTATTTACAGCCTACCAAGAGCTGGGATCATGGGTGTACCTTGCCCAGTCTCAATTGCCGTCTCAATGCGCCCCAGGGGCAGGGCCAGCACAGCAAGCCCGGGGATAGAACTGCCGGCCCTTATGCCTGGGTAACTTCTACATTTCAGAAGATAAAACTGTCCTGGGCCAGGAAGATGGCTCAGTAGAATAAGCGCTTCCCTGGCAAGAACAGGGTCTGAGTTCAATC